CCAGACATTATGAGACTTAAAGCGAACGATGACGCGACGTGAAGAGATGGAAGTGCAGCGTCGTTTTAAAACTGTTTATGGTACTGCACAGGTGGTGAGAGCATGCGCGATTGAAAACACTGGCTCAGAGCTTTGGAACGATGAAAAAATATATGGATGGGACAATGTCGCATATACATCTTAGATGACTTCCTTGCTTTGTTTTTACTTCAGTTAGGAGTTCCCCCGGTCACGTACCGGGACAAAAATATCATTGTTATATATATATATATATATATATATATATATATATATATATATGTGTGTGTGTGTGTGTGTGTGTGTGTGTGTGTGTGTGTGTGTGTGTGTGTGTGTGTGTGTGTGTGTGTGTGTGTGTGTGTGTGTGTGTGTGTGTGTGTGTGTGTGTGTGTGTGTGTGTGTGTGTGTGTGTGTGTGTGTGTGTGTGTGTGTGTGTGTGTGTGTGTGTGTGTGTGTGTGTGTGTGTGTGTGTGTGTGTGTGTGTGTGTGTGTGTGCATATATGATTATGCGCAGAGTGTGGAATTGTGTGCATTTGGTAGCGCTTGCTGAGCGCTATCAAACGACAGGGAAGCATCAAAATCGGGCGGCGGCGTCTTTTTGTTTGGTGTGACCCCCCCCCCCTCGCGACGGAGCAATGCCGAATACGGGCGGCCGGCCCGCGCATGTCGGGAAGAAACTACGGAGCGATTTAAATAAGTTATAATCGCGTATGGATAATGGGACAAAGGCATTTGAAAGCGCTGGCTAAGGGCTGTCGAACGATACCGAAGCATTCCGATCGGCAGGCAACAGTTATTTCTTTGGTACGAGGTGCTTGCAGAGCACGAGTACTGAACGCTGTCGGCCGCCCGGCGCGTGTCGAAACTGAAATTACGGCAAGGTTTTAAAGCTGTTTTTAATCTCACAAGGAGGTGGGACCGTGAGTGTGTAAAAACAGCTGCTCAAGGCCATCGCCTGGCATCGTACTTCGTACTAGACAGGGGGCGCTGACCATCTGAAATCGTACTATTGAATACCATGGGCGTAGGAACAGGGGACCAGGGGGGCCATGCCCCCCCCCCACTTTTCAAGGTGGGGGGGGGGGCTGCGGTGTTAATTGCCCCCCCCCACACACACACTTTTCATATTAAGGTTGTCTTTAGCTTACCTGCAACGCCAGGTGTCCAGGCTGTTGTTGCTATGACTTGTGAGCGCGTATGTTCAAAACCACATTACATATATTTTATCAGTAATCAGTTCTGACTGAATCGTGAGCATTTCAAAACGAACGCGGATTAGCAATGTTAATACAAGCTTAGGACCCATTTCAACTACAATATACGTTCAGGATTCCTCAATATCTCCGAAGAACACCGAAAAACACGGAACTGGAGCCTGTGTGACAATTATTTGCCCACCTGCGGCGATCAGGGATGTGACCGGCGATCGCGGTGCTTTAAGGATGATGTGATGATCATGGGATGTTGCTGCGTCAAGGGTTCCTGTGCTGATTCGGGGCCAACTGCGCGGGTCAGGAGGCCTCCCCTGTCAGGGACCGGAACAACGTGGTATGATATGTCCTTACAATGGCCCCCGGATAGACCATGAGATCCTGCCCCGGGTCGCTAGAATGACAGCCAGAAGACACTTCGCGATGAGACGGAGTGGCCCAGCAGCCCTTGACCGGAACCGGTAATGTGCCCCTGGTGTTCTACTCAAGGGACCCTTTGCCTGGAAATAAGGGGTCTCATTTTTGTTGAGTAAAGTGGGGGTTTCATTGTTGTTCAATGGAGTGGGTCGACATGATTTGAAAAAAACGAACAAGGCCATCCCATGTTTGCCTGAGATCGTTCATGTTTTCGGAATGGATTAGTGAAAAAATGCATCAAAAGGTTTGAACATGCCCGCCCGCAACCTCGAGAGCAAGGACAGCGGGAGTCCGTGTTGCAGCTTCCGTAAAACTGAACGGCGTCTGCCACTGCAAGTGCCGCCAGACGGCAGGCGCCGTGTTAATCTGTCCTCTTGACGGACTAATAGTTACGGAAACACGAACAATAGAGAATCTACCTTTACTCTTTCAGTTTTACCACCAGATTCCAGCACCACTTCGCGGTGCTTTAAGGACCAATCCGTTCTTGTGATCCGTCTCAAAATCGCACACGTAAAATAAGCACCCAGACTGCCTTATGGACGTAAGATTTGATGTCCTGAAGCGTTCAAAGATACTTCTTAGAGAAGCGTCATCATTTTCGTCCACCCGTTGGCCACAGCTCACTATTAGCTGCCAGACCGACACTGCGCGGCCTACGGAGACTGCAACGCCTGGCGTCGAGGTTTTTTAAGCCAAGCTTTGCGAGTACGCATGCTTAAAATTATACCACAAAGGCTGTATTACTAATATATTGAAGCAATTAAAGGCAATGATTTCAGAACCGCTACCATTTTCGTCCACCGGTGGGCCACGGTGAAAAGTCAACCACTGGGACCCTTCGCTAACCCTTCGCGGATTATGGAGACTGCAACGCCAGGCGTCGAGGTTTTTGTTGCTAAGATTTGCGAGCGCGCATGTTAAAAACCACGTTATATAAATTGCATCAGTAATCGATTCCGACTGAATGTTGAATATTTCCAAGCAAACATGGCTTGGCGATGTTGATATATACTGTTGATCACTCGATCCACAATCAACATTTTCACCTTCAAATTTCCATCAAACATATTGATCTACAATCTACCTTTGCGATGTTTTCAATGTCTGTAGAACGCAGCATGTAAAAGTTTGTATGAAAAAGTTTCTGAATTTTATCGGTTAAGAAACAGTCTACTAAGCCATTGTAATTAAAGACGCTTGTGATTTAGTTCATGCGGTCGTTAAACGCCTGATCGCTGCAGTATATTGACCTTAACAATGTGAACAGAATTGACCTCACGGTAGCTTCCAATTTCTGTTCTGGTTACAACGTGAAAATAGCAATGAAAGGAAGAAAACCGCGTCCATTGTTTACAAGCAAACTATATCCGGGATTTTTTGTTGTTGGGGGGGGGGGATCACCATAAGAGGAGCTTTTGTCAACCCTGCATTCCTCTTAGCAGGACTCTGGCAATCCCCTGCCTACAGACAATAACAGATCAGGTCATCTACGTTAAATGGCGGGCAGTTAAATGTCAGTTGGGCCAATTCATACCTAAGGTAGGCAGCTTCCCGGAACCATTTTTCTGGGGTGGTGTGGTGTAAGGGAAGATAATTCGGAAAAGGTACTGTTGCAGGTGTCCAACACATGCTTTACATCCCAATTAGCAGCAATACTGATCCAGAAATGTGCGACAAAGCAGCCATACCGTCAGATCGCGGTCAGTCATTCGGGGACAGCAGGGCCCGGACAGTGACCACCGACGGCGTGCGGGAGCAGGGCTCAGACAAGGAATATATGACAGAAATGCCTTCATTTTGTGGCTTGGTTTTCAAAGGAAAATCTCCAGTTCCATGGTTTTTGTCACATGGTTTTTGGCAGTTTCAAGCTTCCAAATTCGTGTCCGCCTAAAATGCCGCGATTAGTCTTATCTCTTGGAAAGCAGCCAGCGAAATGAAGGCGCGTGCAAAATATGTTGTTCTGTGAGCCATCGATTCATTTTCAGAATTCTCACCAGGATTTGTGTAGGCCATATTTTGGTATCTACCCCGTGGAGACAGATGCCTCCTCAATGACTGAATGACAATGACCTCCTCCTCTTACCCGCCCGGCGACACTTTTTTGTTTGATACAACTCCTGACATTGCATGACTGAGTACGCCTAGCCGACCAGTGCGTGGAAAGGTAAGTACGAAGCCGTCAAACAAATTATCATCAGGGCCGACGGGTGGGACCGTGCAAGAAAGAGAGAGAGAGAGAGAGAGAGAGAGAGAGAGAGAGAGAGAGAGAGAGAGAGAGAGAGAGAGAGAGAGAGAGAGAGAGAGAGAGAGAGAGAGAGAGAGAGAGAGAGAGAGGGATCGGCCGGCGCCGCCATTTTGTTTGACATGACACGCTGATGGCGTAGGGCTGAATTCGCGTGGCTGGCCGGCTCGTACAGAGACGAAAATTGCTATCCTGCAGGTAGAGTAGAACTGCGTGCGTTTCAATCCACTGACTCTTAGCCCTGTGTGCGCCTCAAACCCACTGCGGGCTTATTACTGTGTGCGGGTGGCCTGAACGAGCTTCCGCTACCCCTGCTCCTGGGCTTCAACGCGCATGTCCCGCATACTTCATATTGGTTTGCCTCCAGTACATCGGCAACGCTGCGTCAAATGGTGGGCCTTCCGTAGGAACCAGAGCGAGTAATTTCTGTTATGCCTGCTGCTAATTCTGTGCCGTGTTGCGTAACGATTGGACAGCCCCACACATCAATCGTATCAGACCAGTCAGATTTGCACAAGAAAGATCTACTATCTGGCTAGAGACGCAACTCCAAACAGTTTAACCTTCAGCAAAAGGCTCTGCGAAGAAAGCAGAAAGCCTCGATGTTAAGGGGTAAAACTTGCGTTCTCGCTGGCGAATTCCATTAAGGGCGTGGATCTGTTCGTCATCGAAATTCCCGTCAAACTGAGTCAAACACCGGCACCGGCAACCCATCGGTAAAACAGAGCGGCCGCAGGGCCTCCGGGGCTCAGACGGTGGCTGCAGCGATGGCCTCATATGCCTACGGTTTCAGTTAAACTGACATTTCATCTCAGTGATCACGCTACCTGCGCCAGCGTCACGCATCTGAACTTGGGTCAGCTCCCATAGGTTCGAAACAGTGCCTTCTTGCTAAGTCCATCGTCACCCTCGTTGAACGAGCACTGACGGACAGGTCGGAAGGACTTATAACGGCCAGGGTTCAAGCGGCGCAACGACGGCCAGCCGGAAACGGCGAGTCCACGTCAGGTCCAGGGTCATCAGCCGTGCCGAGCGGGAGTGATCTCGCTGCCCCCTTCTCCCTCCCCCCCCCCCCCCCCTCCACTGCAGCACAGAGACATGCCGTTCACGGTTAGGGCTGTATTCCCGCTGTTTAGAGCGGCGCGTATCTTCCATTTGCCCCTCTGTCCGCTCGCAACCGGTCACGAGGAGCCGATCCCGCGGGGCACGGCCGTCGCGACGTCAGCGAGCCCTCCGTCTGCGATATTCACAGAGCAGACTGACGCGGACAGCGTCATGGCCGACATATTCCCATGTCCACCATGGAACAGCCTCGTCACAGCTGCGCAATGCACAGTCAGCACAGCGGCGCACCGCGCACACGGCCGCTCAAGCGCGCGCCACAACCGCCGCCTCTCGCCAGTCGGCGGGGGCGTGCCTCGCCCACGCGCCTCGGCACTGTCCACGGCGTCGGGGCGTACCTCCGGGCGCCACCGGGCCCTGTTCACCGTCCACCGCTGGCCGCGCGGCTCGTCAGGCCAGCGGTCCTCCTCATCGGGGCGCGGCTGCAGGTGGGGTCGACACCGGCCGGGGCGTCCTCCGCTCGTCGGGCCGGTAGTCCTCCCCAGCGGGGCGCGACCGCAGGTGAAGTGGCCCCCGGCGTCCTCCGCCCGTCAGGCCGGTAGTCCTCCCCAGCGGGGCGCGGCCGCAGATGAGGTCGCCCTCGGCCGGGGCGTCTCCCGCTAGTCGGGCCGCTAGGCGGCACTCAGTCGCTGCCGCAGCGCTGCGCCACCGTCCAGATCTCGTTCAAACGGCCGTGGTAGCGCTGCGCGGCGTCGTACACGGCCACAAAGTACTCGCCGCGGCGGTAGCAGAGGCCGAGCCGGTCCAGCCGGCCATGGAAGGCAGTCACGTGGTCAGCCAGCCGGCCCGGCGCCAGGTCACGGCCGCCGGCCGTCTGCACGTACACGGTCAGCTCGTGGATGTAGCTGAGTCCGATGGCCGGCTGCGGGACGAAGGAGGTCGTCACTGCAGGGACGGACGCGTACGACGATGCGGTGGGTCCCGGTCACTGGGGAAACAGGGACGCGCACGACGGTGCGGTGGGTTCAGGTCACTGCACGGACAGGGGCGCACACGGTCATGCGGTGGGTCCATGACTGAGAATATGCGCAATGGTGACAAGTTAGCGTGTAGGCGCTTCAAATCCAGGCCCAGCCATACTAGCATGCAGAACACATTGTTTTTAGAACAGGGCTGGCGATCTAAGGAGGCCAGCCTATCACTACGGTCGTCAAAAGAGTTGATACAGCCGTCCTCAGAGGGCGTGCACGTCACATCTAAGGTTTTTGGGGAACGTGGTCGTGCACGATTGGGGCTAGCAACACAAATGCTTCGTTCATCGAATGGCCGTCGGCACACCTGTCTACACAGCATCAGTCATCTGCAAGTTGAGGCTGGGGGAGCTATCCGCTAAAGGAGCTGATGGTGACCTCTGCAGCCGACAATGGGTCATGCTACCCAGCCGGTATCGCAGGCCTGTGAGGGGCACGAGCCTTGAAGCGCACGGGTTGATGTATACGAGTCTGTGAGACACGCCGGCCGCGGCGCACGAGCCTGTGAGGTCCGTGGGTCAAGGCTGTGTACATGAACCTGTGAAGATACACGAAATACATGTGCATCCTGTTAGGTACACGAGTTGCAGTACATAACCTAGTGTGGTCCCTGATTTCCAGTACATCAGCCTATACCTGTGCACATCGGGTACGCGAGCCCGTGAAATTATCCGACGTACTGAAGTCTCTACAACTGCTGAAACACGTATAATCATAACCGATCATCACAATGTTTGAGCAGTTAATAGAGTTCTCGCGGCACACGGGCCCGCGATCTGGACGAACCAGCCGGTCGCTTCACTCACAGCGTGCTGACCGGTGTTTGGCGGGCTGCGGTGCAGGCGGCGCGGCAGGTACACCATGGCCGTCATGTGGCAGCTGACGTTCGAGCCGCCGTCCGTCTCCCAGACGCGCAGCACACCCGCTGGCCGCGTCGCCTCGATCTTCTCCAGGTGCGAGTTGACGCCTGCCGCGAGATCCGGCCCGACGAACCCGTGAACGTTGGGCAAGTGACGGATCCAAGTGAGGAGAGAGGGGTAAAGGCCCCCCCCCCCCCCCCAACGCAGGACGGTGACAAGGGCAGATGTGTTTCGTCTTTAGGCAAGGGGTTTGGTTTTCTGGCGATCAGGGTGGCGTTCTGATCTAAGTCCCGAACTACGTAGTCTCGATGTCGGGCCGATCCTTGTGTGGGAGATACATGAGCAAACGGGAAGACTTGCAAAGTCTATGTACTCGTCATGGACGCGGCAACTCGTGTAACAGACCAATTGAAATCGCTGAAAATGGAAGATCTCGTGCAAAAACACGACGAAGTCCGCGTCTTTCAGAGTCGGGTGCGTGTTGAAAGTATGACGAGTGAATGCAAATACAAGGTGACATAAGGAAGCCAACAAGGGGGCAACGACAACCGGCAGCGATACGAGGCGGCGGCAACGGCGGCCAGCAGCGCAGGTGTTACGTACCCTGTCGATAGAGGTGAAGGGGCATCAGACTCCGCCAGACAGAATCCAGACTCGACTCGCAGTGGTCCAGCTTGGCGGTGGCGAACGCGGCATTGTAGTAGTGCCGCTTCTGGATGCCGCCCTTAAATTCGGACAGCACCTCGAACCGGGGACACTCCCTGCCTGCGCACGTGAGAGGGCTGGAGTAGTGCTGGACCTGAGCTGGGACCGAGCGATGCATCGTAGTCGGCCACTCACGGCTGCAACAACTTTGTGCGTTCCGAGTCTAGACAGGAGTCTGAGTAGAGAGCACACGCTCTGCGTGGACATCAACGCAATGGTATTTCACATTACGTTCTCTGAGAGGAGTTATGAAACGCGTTTCTCCACCGCGGCGCCGCGCGCCAAATATGTCCTTGCAGCATTTCGCCAGTGAACACACTTCCGCGCGCGTTCTCACCGACCTCGGCAGAGCCGTCGCATGGTGGCGGTGGTGACGTTGGTGCGCTGGCCCAGCAGGGGCTTGCCCATGGGCCGGAACCGGTGGGTGCTCTTGTGGGGCGTGCTGTACAGCCAGATCTCGTAGTACGATCGCTGGCGGAAGTCCGAGCTGAAATGTGCGGTGGAGTGGAGAGAGATTCCACCCAAGTATCGCAGGTGGAGTCAGCTGCCTCAGAAGCGGAAGGCGCCTGATGCCATGCTAATTCATTCAATATAGAACTTCGGTTTGGTTTGGATTAGAGTCCTTCCAGCCAGTAATTACTACTTAAGGGCTGTGGAATGAAGAGGGGGTGAAAATGATGGAGCAAAACTACATGCACCTGAGCGCCAATTTGCCGAGACTTGGCCCACACGGGGATCCATATACGGATACGAGCTCTGCATTCGGACGTCCTCCCCACCAGGGAGCACGAGGTTCACTCATGGCTGGTGCATGTGGCTTGCCCAGACATAGGGGGCGTCGTGGGAATGTGATGCATTAGAATTCGATAAAAAACAGGGGTAGATGACGCAACGTTAAATAATGCGCATCAATATCTATATTATGCAACATGTCGGCAATCTCGGCATGCGTTACGTACTCACTCCTTATATTTGGCCAGGTAGAAGTACGAGTCCAGATAGGTTTCACCATGCCGTCGCAGTCGCCGACTAAAGCGCTTGGTGCGCATGCGCAGTGACCGGTCGGTGAGCTTCCAGGGCCGCGCCCAAAAGGACGTCACGAATACGCGTTGCTCGCCCACGGCGTCTAGCACCACCTGTCGGCGAGGCGGCCAGCGTCTGCACGATGAGGGTGGGCTGCGCACGACGGCTCGCAGAATACAGATGGCAGCACTGCGGTCCACTTCCGCAACTCGATGGTGATTGGTATTGTACAGCCCGTCGGAGTCTTATGAAGCTCGTTGTAGCGGAATAAGTCCTAGTGGCACGTGCAGGTACACGCAGTTTATGTAAATGTAACCTGTATGGAGCGGAGCAAACATTTTTCGCCAGATATCAGATGATTGGCAGGCTCAGCTGGGTTCAGGTCCTGTTTTCACTGAGTAACTTCTCTGAGTAACTACAGTATGATCACCTGAACTCGAGCTTACCTCCGCTCCAAAGAAATCGCCTTCTAATTTTACTCACGGCATTGGGGGTTGATTCCCACTCTGATTCAAAACCACACAATTTCAAGCCGAGTCTGATTCTGACCCGAGGAGATAGAAATCAATTCTGGAATCGATTCATGACAACAGCCAAACAAAAACCGCTCCAAGCGCCAAAGAAATGCCTGCATGTGGCGTACATTTGATAAAACAATGATGTATACAATACTCAAACGATGCTTACATACGAACTGCCTGAAGAAGAGCACCTGTTTTTGCTAACATTTCTGCCGGAGCCTTTTGGACAAAAGTTGCATCATCCCGCGGTCATCGGGGTTACAAATGCCGACGCGTAATGACTTCAGGCGTTGAATGCGTCGTACAACCTCCATGGTTGTTGCTTTTGGTGTAGCTGATTCATCAATGATTTAATTCACCACAAATAACTCGACCCTGTCTCCGACTGGTATAAGTTTGGAACAAGTGTCAAAAGAAGTCTGACTCAACGCAATTTTGGTTTATTGCCGAGTTAACTCTGGCTCCATTTAAAGTCAAGCAATTCGATTCAAGTTTCACATTATTTGAGGTCAAAAATAGCTTTCAATGGTACTCAAGTGATATAGAACGCCACAAAGCTCACTCGAAAACGTAAACATCGTACGTTTCCTGAATAAAAAATGCATAGGCTGCAGGGTAGGACTATGCAGAAGTGGTACCCCATAGGTGCGTGTGTACCAATGCAATGAGGTACCCACACGCACATTGTCATTTACCGGTAGCAGTGCGGCCTCACAGTTATGATCACAGCCGACAATAGCCACTGCGTTTGAACGGTAGCATTCCTGGCAGGGAAGCCCGCTTTTACCAGAGACCGCATCAGGCGAAGTAAATATCCGCACTGGGAGCACAATCCAGCAAACGTCCCGCCAACGCTTCTGAGTCACGTCTTGCCCAATCGAAAGATGCTGATTTAAGACGTGATTTTCCAGACGGCTGGGCCGCGTGCCTCGGGTCCAGCGGGCCTGACCGACCGTCGCCGGAGCGTGCACGGGCCTCGCGTGGCCCCGCCGGCCGGCCCGGCTGCCCAAATAAGCCAGCGCCGCTCCACCGCCTCGGCGGCCGTCCCCGCGGTGCCCTGCACGGTCATGACACCGACCGGGCGCGCAAATTGGCGGGTGTGGTCCCCGGCGCGGCACAACGCTCCGTTCACGACGCGCTCCGGCCCACGCGGGGCGGCGTGGGCGGCGCGGCGCTTTGGCGGACTCCCCGGCGAGCGAGACGGCTAGGAGCCCGAGCGGAGACCGGGACCGGGACCGGCACGTCCGGCAGCCGCGCGCGTTCCGGCCACTGAGAGGTGAACTGTTGGCAGCGTAAGCTATGGACCCGGGCGCGGTCAATGACGCGGACTTTTCCACCTTTTCCGCCTATTGCTGCGTGTGTATAGACAGAAGATACGACCAAGAAGATGGGGAACATGAAACGGTTTAAGGTCACCAAACCCAGAACTCAATCATCCAACACAAATCGCGCCGAGTTATTTGGATTTCACCCACCGTCCAGTGGCAAAGCTGCCGCGTGTAAACGTCTGTCGTCGCCTGCAGCCGCTGTCTCTCGTCACACCTCTGAGCCCCTCACGCCCGAACAGCCGCTGCCACGCCGTTGCTGACCTGGTCCGTGTCCGGTCTGGGAGGCGCGGCGCCCCCCAGCAGCGGCAGCGACACACTGAAGTCGCTCTCCTCCTGCGACGTGATGCCATGCACGGGAGAGAACCGCAGCTGGGTCAGCTGAGGATACGTCTGCAGCAGATGTACGCCTGGAACGTACCGAGGGTGGGTCAGGTGTGGGTACGTCCGCAGCAGATGTACGCCTGGAACGTACCGAGGGTGGGTCAGGTGTGGGTACGTCCGTAGCAGATGGACGCCTGGAACGTACCGCAGCTGGGTCAGGTGTGGGTACGTCCGTAGCAGATAGACGCCTGGAGCGCACCGCAGCTGGGTCAGGCCCGAGGAGATATGACCGTGGCGCTGCACGCCTGAAGTGCACCGCAGCTGTTTTTTTTCGGCGGGGGCGCCTCCCCAATGTGCAAACCGATGTCAGGCAGTGACAAACTAGCAAGGGCTTCTGTGTTTGTCATTCCTACGGGCCCACTTCTCCAACAGCGCTATTCTCAGAGCCTCCCCATCGCCTGCGTCCCCGCCCCTGACCATCGGAGCCTCGCCGCCCTTGCATCGCCGCCCCTCCCAGTCACCCTTGCCAGCCCGCTCCGCCGCCGCCGTCCACCTCTCGAACTCACCGAGACTGTTCCTGCCGGAGAGGTAGTCGCCGAGGCCGGCGCGCGCCTCCATCTCGGCCAGCAGCCGGTTCTCGGTGGTGGTGACGTAGCTGACCCAAACCGTGGCCGGGTACAGGCGCACCTCGTGCCGGGAGGTGCGCGACAGCACTCTGTACTCGGGGCAGGACGGGCCACACGCACGCCGGTCGCTCGGCGGGTAGCTGCCGGAGCACACCGAGACACGTGCAGTTGTGCAAGAAGACATCCCGTGATCGGTGGTAGCATCAGTTCAAGAAGACACCCCGTGATCGGTGGTAACATCAGTTCAAGGGGCGGGAATCGCCGGACGGTCCGGGGAAGTTAAGCCCGTGGCCAGAGCTCAATGTTCATGCAGGTGCAAGTGGACTGATAGAAACAGTTTTTCGGAAGTCACCGGTACAACTGGTTTGCAGTACTGTGGCGACTTTTAAAAAGGACCGTAAATGATCTAGGTGAACAATAAGATTCATATAGCTCAAGATATCATCAGTGGGCAATTCTCGGCATCTTGGCGTTGTCAATGACGGCTCGCATAAAAGTAGCATGTTAACATCAAACATTACGTAGCTCTCGTTCTACCACACAAACGAACCTGATTTCAGCATATCTAGTATAGTGTTATCTTATGCAGTGAAGTGTTGTATATACATGGATATTGCTGGATGTACATTTGTCCAATGTATATTGAGCCTGTCGTGCTCAGTGATACCAAGGCAAATCAGATTATCTTTTCATCTTATCCCCACACCTTGAACATTGGTGTTATTCCGAGGCGCCACGTCCTCGCATTTCTCATCTGGTTTTTTTGGGAGGGGGAAAATTCGTAAAACATTTTCATATCAGGTGTAGTCTGTAAGAAGCCAGAAATTATTTGGATCACTACACAACAGCCTTCACAACAGCTTTGTTGCAAGCAGCTCGTCTGCTACAATCATTTGTCACGCACCATAACTGGTCTGAAAGAAACCGTGGACGATATCCGAGAAAACATTTGCAGTTGTCTCCCTTTCCCTCCATTTGAGTAGGCACTCCATCATGCATTGGAAATCGGATTTGTCCAAAGAAGGCTCCAGCTGTGCGGCCGCTGTTGGCGCGGCTTTGACCGTTACGAGCCCATACACGGCCAGACGGTGATCAACATCTGTTGCCAACGACACTGCTACGACAGAATTGCGGTTGCATGAAAACTGCTACAACATGGTTTTAAAACTTGTAAACACCGCCGTATCGCCACCGTGTTTGTGAGTGTTCATATTGCAAAGTGATATTGCAGCATTGGCGGGGTGTTTCTGGAGCGTGAGGAGCACTTGAGTCATGGCGAGGGACTGATTGCGCCCACTGAAAGCGGATATTTACGAGCGTATCACTATTTGTTTATCGAAAACCACTTCCTGACGCACCAGAGGCCTCAGATGAGCAAGTGGGGTAGGCTTCCGATGTCTATGGGATTGTCACGTCACCAATAGATAAGTTCATACCAGGCTTTAAGGCATGCCAACCAGCTTCTCCATTCATTCACCTAAAACCCGCCTCCGCCTCCCACCATCCATTCAGCATGCCAGAGCGACCTCCAGTCGAGCTGGCGCGCGCGCCAACACCCGCCGCCTCGGCCATCGGCGCGGAACGGTCGCCTAGGCGCTGGCAGCCGCCGGCCCCGCGGCGGGCCCCCGGGGAGCGGCACGACACCCGCTGACATCACCGACAGGGTGTCCGGCCGCGCGGACCGACGCCCTTGGACGTCAGCCGAACGGCGGCGGCCGCCGGCGCTCCCGGGTCCAGAGGGCCGTCTCTGAGCCGGCGGCGGCCGCCGGCGCTCCCGGCCCCGGGTCCACAGGGCCATCTCCGAGCCGGCGGCGGGCACCCTCTCCCGGGTCCAGCGGGTCGTTTCTGAGCCGGCGGGGGCCGATGGCGCTCCCGGCTGAGGGTCCGGGGGGCCGTCTCCGGATCGGCGGCGGGCACCCCTCCCCGGGTCCAGGGGCCGTCTCTGAGTCGGCGGCGGCCGTCGGCGCTCTCGGACCCGGGTCCAGGAGGCCGTCCCCGAAACGGCGGCGGGCACCCCCCTCCCGGGTCCAGGTCTACAGTGTGGCACAGGTGCCGTCTCGCCACGTTCCCTCTTGCCTTCCCGTCACGCCACCATGCCTCGCGTTCCCTCCGCGGCGCCAAGCGCCACGGATGAGTGCTGCTCAAGCAGGTGTGTTTTGTGGTTTCCTGCCTGGTCTCAAAAAGACTGAACAACTTTTTGTGAACTGAACAACAACAACAAGCACGGGCGACGTTTTCTAAAAAAGTGGGTTTTAACGCTCATGTCAAATTGGTAAAAGCCATTTTTCAATGCACTAGCACATGCCGAATGTCACAAATAGGGAATTTTTAGGAGCCCAATTCCCCAAAGGCGTGCCAGGTGCGCGAAGCGCTAAATGACTGAGTCCGCAGCACACTTGTCGTCGCTCGATCCAAACGGAAGACGTTTGCAAGCGATTAAGCGGACGGCGATGCGGCAATTCAGTCAGTGGCGTCATTCATTTAAGTCTTAGCACGCCGTTGGAAGGCGCACTGAGCACGGCGGCCCGGTTTTGAGGAGTGATCAGGTTTAAGAAAGTAGTCTTCATCGTTCACGTCTCAGTTTGACCTCATAGCCGGCTTCAAACCCCCTAATCTGATCAGCATACGTCTACGCGACCGGGCAAATGATCCGAAAATGACGGGCGGTTCCAAGTTCTGTCGTGACGACTGGTTTCTCTTCGGCCGACTCAGGCAGCTGAAGGTCGATGTAGGGTAGCCTTAAGCCGGACAACTCGTCCGCTGTCTTCCGGTTGTGTCAGTGCAGGGCGTGAAATGCTGGCCACTCGCTGAGCATGCCCGCTGGTTCCGCCGGCCCGGGGTCTAAGACAACCGTGCCCGGCCGGGGTCTGAGACAAGCGTGTCCGGCTGGGGCCTGAGACAACCGTGTCCGGCCGGGGTTTGAGACAACCGTGTCCGGCCTGGAGCGGGAGTTGACTTCCTCCTATGGGATCTCCAATCTCCAGATGCCGTTTGAGAAGAGGAAAGATACCGCTGTGAAGGTCTCGTCAAATAATGAAAAATGTCAGCCAAATGTTTGACCTTAGGTCAAACATGGGGTCATCAGAGGTCACGAAGGGTAGAAATGGTCGCTTCGATAATTGCTGTTAAAACCTGTGTTTGTACCTGCAAACGGATATTGAGGGAATGGGAATAAGCGTAAAGCAATGTGGAGACCATTCCGACCTTTTTTGTTCACCCACAAGGGTCAGGTCAGATCAGATCACCGCTCAAAGTTGGTGTACCAGTAGCCTACAAGAACAAAAACGGTATGACTGTGCTCTTCTGACTAAATTAATTTTATTAGGTGCAGCTGTAGGGAAACAATATTCAAGACACAAAAACAATTTTAGGTTGACCTAGAGGTCATCCGAGGTCAACTTAGGTTGAATTCATAAAACATCCAAATGAAAAAAAAACAATTGAACTGCTAATCTGGTCTATGTGACCAGTTCCATACTTTTCCGTGGTCAGGAATAATGTGTCATACATCTATAGGTACTCAAGGTGGTATGGCTGCTATCTACATTATACGTAGTTTCTTTACCACTTTGGAATGTATTTGAAACAAACTGAGAACAGGCACGTTGCTACTTGAAATCATGCGTCATCAGCTCTACAAATACGACAAGGAGGTGGTTACACGCCTCGCACCCGTTCATCTAGCCTCTCCGCTATGGCAACATAAGTCACTATCCTTAGATGACCCCATATGTCCTTGCATGTCCTTAAGTTACCTATTTTACCTCATGATTTATAAGAATGGTGTCAACATGCTTTCAGTGGAATATTCCAATTATACGTCCAAAATTACCTGATAAAACTACCTATTGTGGGCTCAATATGTGTTTTGCAGAAGGTGCCCATAGGGATAGGTCACGACCTTTGCAAAGGTCATGCTGTCTGTGTCATGTGGTAGTTGCGCATATGAGGTAGTGCTCTTTACCTCATACAAAAACAACAAAGTTGCATAAAAATAATTGACCTGACTTCCAGCCACTGGCCCCGCATTCTCCGAAAAATATGGAATAAAGAAACTTTAAGTACTATCATATGCATATTATTTTCTATTCTATTTCAAGTTGAAACAATAGCAAATGACCTACAAAAAGTGACGTTTGGTCGAAGTTTTTTACAGGTCGACCTTTGACTTGACCTATGTCACTGATCTTAGTAGAACAAACTTTTGAATTTACAGAAAAAATGCTGACTTGATAGATGAACAAGTACTGAAAATTTCGCGCTGCCGCAAGCGGTCATTTTGTACCTGTGCCCGAAAAACCGTACCGTACCGTAGGGCGGTCAAGCTCCCTGCCTGACGCTGGTTAAGTGGCAGCAGATGTTATAGCTTCAAAGCAAAAAATCCTCCGGCTTATCCGTCGTTGCAGCTAGACTCCACTTGTAAACATTAGCAAAATAAGAAGAAATGAACAGGAGTATTTGCCTGGTATCTCAAAGCCAAAACAAACAGCAATGTCACGAAAGTACAACGCAGCTTAGCGATGCTTCAAAGTCAGAAGTTGTACTATGAAGGGCTCCGGAGCATTAGCTGGTGCATGCGCCCTGAGCGGGGGCGTCGACACCGGGACACCGAACCGACCCGCGCAGCCAGCTGGAGCCTTTCAACGCGACTGATGATGGCTATCACCGCCGCAGCCTGGCAACACTGGCCGGCCCGCGCGGCCGACAGCAGCTCCGCCCCGGTGACGCGTGCTCTGTGTCGCCGTCGGCCGGCGCCATCCATCACGGCCGGGCCGCCGGCGTGGTCGCCGACCGGCGCCGCTCCGGTGGTCGGCACCTCTGTTGTGGCTGACTGGCCGCGAGCGAGAAAGAACAGTGGTAGGCGCGCTGCGCCGGCGCCGGTATCTGCGTAACTGCATCACTGAGGCATGGTGTTTCTGTTCACCCTTTTCGGCTCTTTCCGCACGCTGTTGCGTCGTTGGTTCATAAAAGTAACACAGCTGTTTCACAAAAGAATGCACTTTGGCCCTGGGTCTCGGATGCACCGATCGTGCACGCCCTGCCCCTTCTGCATGACTATGTGTGGGCTCAGGTGTCCAGATGCATCTTATCTGACTCCTGCACTCGTGGACTGGTCCAATGCCGTCACTGCCGGTAAAGA